TCTTTTGTACGTAGGATGGGTTTCTCAATGTAATTCTTGAATGTTCTCAAATCCAAAAAACCGAACAAAATAGTTATTGATGAAAACTGTCATTGAAAAATTCACTATCAAGGAAATGTTCTACAACTAAATGATACATACCAATCGATTTCCTTTTTCATCGAGAATCAAATTTGAAAATAAATTTTTATTTGTAATTTTTATGCAAAATTAAAAAAAAATAACAATTATTTTTGATTTTTATTTTACAAATCCAAAATAACAATTATTTTTGATTTTTATAAAAATAATAATTTGTACATAAAAGCTATTTTTGTTTTTTATATTATATTTCTTAGATAACAGTTATTGAAGACTTTTATTTATAAAAGTCATCAATAAAAATGAATCACCGACTTTCATTTTTTAAATCATACAAATAAATGTCATTATAATTTTTCGCAGTTAAGAAGATGTTGGAGAACCAAAATTAACTAGGACTTATACAAATGACTTTTATATGTATGATTTTAAAAATAAAAGTCAGTGACGGATTTATATTGATGACTTTTATAAATAAAAGTCTTCAGTACTGTTATCTAAGATATATAATTAAAAAATCAAAACTAACTGTTATTTGCAGATTTTTTAGATAAAAATCCAAAATTATTGTTATTTTGGATTTATAAAATAGAAATCCGAAAAAAAACTGTTATTTAAGGAGTAATAAAATAAAAGTCAAAAAATAATTATTAAAAAGTGATTTTTTTTAATAAAAGTTGTAACTGTTACTGCTGAAATCACATCCATACATTGGTGCATTCAGTCGATTCTTCCACGCTAACCGAGTTTATTTGCTCCAAATCTTCTAAAAATATAGTTCAATCAACAGGACTCGGGGAAAAAATCAAAAATTTTTCTTCAAAATTTAAATTTTTTTAATTCAATTTTGTAGCCCGTTTCGTTGGTTTTTGAGATTTTTTTTGTCGCACTTATTGCGCATTTTCTTCCATATAAAAATAGATTTGTTCATGCGTTATAAGAAAGAAAATTCGCAATTTTTACCGACTTGAAATTTGCATTTTATTTCTCTAAAAACACTTGTCTAAGTAATCGAGTTGAAAAATTTTACATTTTGATGAAAATTGTTTGGTATTTCTTGCATTTTCCCCCGAGTTCTGTATGAAATACAAGCATTGATTCTTGTGGCTTTTGCTGTTGAATGAATTATATTTTTATAAAAAAATAAGAAAAATTTGGAATGGAAAACATAAATAAATAAAATCGTCAAAACGTCGGTGTATGCATATTTCTGACGCTAACTGTATTTTGTTTATAGTTGGGATGGCACATATTGTTAGGCTTATGTTTTTTTTTTTGCATACAAATCCGATCTCTAGTGATGTGTATATAGTATTTAAAAAAAAATTTAGTACTTATTCGCTGTTAACTAAGGCATACGAAAAACGCACTAATACTCGTATAAGCAATTCAATAAATTATAAAACTTAAATCTTGCTAGGCCAGTTTGTCTGTTAGTCCATAAGCGGTATTAGGGATGGCAGCAGCGATTAATCTTTTGATTAAATTAATCGATTATTTTTGCNCCAGTTTGTCTGTTAGTCCATAAGCGGTATTAGGGATGGCAGCAGCGATTAATCTTTTGATTAAATTAATCGATTATTTTTGCCAAATTTACGATTTAATTGTATCGTAGTTTTGTGTTTCATTAATCGATTAATTCTAAAATAATCTTAAAAATATTTTCATCCATCGAACATTAGGTTTTGATAGCTGCATCAACTTTACTCGCCCCGGGGTTCAAAAAAATTAATCTCAAAGATCCGTTAGCATTGGCCTCAGTAATGAAGTTCTTGCATAATGATATAAAATGCCAGATGATCTTGCGGAAACGAGTAGCGAGTCGTCACTAGAATAAGTAGAAAATTAGTTCGATCTTTGGGCTTCTCATAAATCTCTTGTACACAAACGAAAGCGAAAAGATGATGATTTGGGTCACCCACAAGACGAAATGAGTTTTTATTTAAATTGTCAAGTCCAAGAACTAAAGCGGAATGTCATGGACGCACGGCAGAAATGAAAACTGTCATTTAGTTGGTACCTCAGTGCCTGCTGAGCACTTTTTTTTCAAAAGCTGGAGCTACAGCCAGCAAGAAACGCTTGTCAAAACTAATTACCCACTGTAAAAAAGGGCCTTGAAAAATTCGATTAATCGATTATTTCACAATACTTGCAATTAATGGAAATTAATTTTTTTTTTTGCTTGTGATTAATCATATGATTAATTAAAAGATTAGTTTTTTTGACATCCTTAATAGGTTGACGCCTCCTGTAATTTATGTTGCAGGCTAAAATAAGTAACTTCTAGCATATCACCTGAGCAGGCAAAACGTGAAATAAAATCCTTTAAGGATGTATTACAGCAGAGGAAGGAAATAAGTTATTCCATAATCCGAAAAATCTTTGCTTAATAAAACGGTACCACCTACAGGAAATTGTTTCAGCATAATTGCAATGAAATTTCATTCGCCTTACAACTCGAAAAAGAAAACTCTCAGAGGATTTGCCTAAAAATTAACACAAGGCCATGAGCAATATACTTTGACAATTCCAAAGGCAGCAACAACGGGTATAAAAATGCCATAGAATTTGAGTTGCAGATAAACTGGCAGCTGAACGACAGCTAAATGAAACAAAGCAGTAAAAAGCGCTCTAAAGCCGAAAAGCCAAAGCAAAAGCAAAAGACTTTGTTGCCTTGGTGTTCAAAGCTCGAGTTCGCTTTCATTTTTGTCACAATGAATGACACTCAAAATACTCAGCAAAGAAAGTGTTACTAGAAAAAATAAAAATAAAATCAACCCTAAAAACTTCTACTTGTGCTGCTACACTTATTACGAATCTGCAATTCACTTACATACTTATATGGAAGCCTAAGCAGCTTTTAACGAAATTTGATGATGATGCCGGATTTATAACATAAGTACTCACATTTTCGCCTTAGTAAACACATTTATGTAGAATGACAAATTGCAAATTGTTAGACAATTACACGGAATTGAATTTGTTTCCTGTTGAGCCATTGCCTACCCGCACCCACCCACCTTTCCAACCAAACGCGCGCATGTGATACGGATTAACGTGGCACAAATCTAGATTAAAGCAATTTTTAAATGGAAACGCAATTACTGCGCTCAGCTCAATTGCTTTTACACGCTTATCCGCATTTATATGTATGTCTGATTGCGGCGCGAGTTGCGTAAGAGTGACATTAATTGTTTGTCACTTAGGCAATGTATGTACGTCCATATGTATGTATGTATGTATGTATGTGCCTTTTGTTCTACTCGGCTTACAAAAGCTTTTCCTGTTCATGCCATTTACTTTATTACTTTTACAACAACAAAACAAACAAATCATCAGCAGCGTTTCTCCAATTCGAATTCTTTCACTTTTTCACTTTGCCTTGCAATTACCGATCACTCATTCAGGAATTATGTGGCGTGCAAATTGCATATAAGCAAATATGAATTGCTGAATGTGGCACATGTATGTTGCCAATCCGACACAAAATGTGAACACAAAATGCTCATTTTTCATTAGAAAATACAAAAATTGGGCGCAATGTAATTACTCAGCGCTTGCTGGCTCATTTGTGGATACTTTGAGAAAATTTTCCCATATCCTTTGCCTTGCATCACATCTACGATTTGCTGCTTTCATTTACAATTTACAATGCAGTGGTGCGCTTTCCTCTCCCTTGGCTTCTGGTTGCCAATTTACGGGGTTGTGCTTTCCCATTCGCTGGCCCCGCCCGTGCCTGCTTGTAATTTGTCTCTTCGGACTTTCTTTTATTCTGCATACAGCGCGCTGCTTATTTGGTGTTCGACGACGATGTTTGCTCGTTTCAAAGTTTCATTTGCTTTGCCAAAATTGCTTTTTGCGGAAATTGGAAACCTCTTTTTGTCGCTGCTGCTAGGAAATTGTTTGCCGCTGCAGAAGAATAACAACAACACGACAAACGTATTAGAAAGCATCCTTCTGTGCAAAGTGTGCTCGAATTTAATACTCGTTAAGATTTTTTTTTTTTTTTTGATAAAAAATTAATTTGATATTTCCAGTTTTGCAATTGTCCAAAATACGAATACGACTGCATACGTTCATATATACACCCAGTGTCGTAATTATAAGCGCACCACGTATTTTTTTGCTATTAGTTAGTTATATTTTTTTATAAAAATGTAGTAAATTTTTTAACAAAAACCATATATCGAAGTGTAAGAGTTTGTTTGCTATATTAAAAAAATCCAAAAAATGTTCGTAAAAATGTCGACCTTTTTAATTAGATTTTTTAGAAAGATTCTGATTATTAGGCTTTAAAGCCCAATAAGTTTTAGTATATAAAGTGCTGCTTTTAAGTAGCTGGGACTTACCGTTGATTTTTGGAATGTTTTTTTCTGACGGTGTTGTGCATTTTCTTCCCTGCAGCGCGTGTTCTACGTTTTTTTTGGAGAAAATTAGTAACAGCTTCAACGAAAACAAAATTCCAAACAATCAACGGTAAGTCCGGGCTACTTCAAACTTGTTAGGCTACGAAACTGTATACTGAAAATCTTTCTAAGAAATTAATTAAAAATTTCGAAATTCTAACGTAAGTGCTGGAAGGAAGCTGCAATGGAAGCCCAACATTGAAGAAAGGGCTAGAAAGGCGTCGATTGCCTTATGCTGCTGCAGTGGAGCTATTCGTAGGAGGTGAGGTCCCTCGTTCAAAGTAATTCATTGCCTGGTAGAACTTGCTAGCGAGAGCTACACTTACCAAGCAACTGAAGCGCATGCAGCCGCTTGACCTAACTGGCATTAGTGGGGCATTGAAAACCATGCGGCACGAACTGCCCCTAGGCTCTGGACTGCCGGGTGGTTAACCGGCTCGAAATCTGGATACTCTGAAATTTTGGGAGGGCTTCGATTTCGTCCCAGAAAAAACAGATTATTGCGCCTCCAAAATGGCTCCCAGAACTTCATGTTTACCTAATCCAGACAGCTATCAGGGCCCAAAACGTTATGATGGTGCGCTGGAAATTGGTAAGGGAATATCTGAACTTTCCACCAAACGCTTCGGAGTACTTCCTAATGAGGCTGATTTGGGAGCCAGATCACAATGGCATTGCGGTTAACCGCATGGCTGATGTTCCGGCACCCTTGAAACGGTATCAGTGGGTATAGAACGGCTGGGGACGCTTCTGCCCTCCAGCGAGCACTGGGCTAAAATTAGCACATGCGCAATTGCAAAATCGTTCTGACCTGCGGTGGACCGCGGCGATCTAAGGAGCTCCATATACTTGCAAAGCCTTACCTCTCGCTATTGGTGGAAGGTCTGACAGGCCACTGTGCGATGGGTATTCACGTGGTAAGATTAGGAATCTTAACTAATTCCTTTTGCATCAGCTGTCAAGTGGATGATTAGGTGGAAACATCTCAACGCTTGGATTTACTACAATAACTACTACTATACTACTACTATAACAAAAACTACATTTTTAAAACTTGTCAATATGTGGTGTGCTTATAATTACGACACTGGGTGTTTTGTTCCACCGTCACGTTTCACAGCTCCTTAGCTTTCAGTCCCAGCACTTAATTACTCGCTGTTCACCATTTAATCAAAAAAAGTAATAAAAAATCCAAAGCACCTCAGCATGGAGCAGAGCGAGAAAATTTCCTGATTTTAATGCAGCGTTGCGCTTATCAACGTAAGCTTAATCCTCGACCAAGTTGCTCCATCTACTCTAACTACAGCAAACCCTTTCACTCTGCTCTCTGTTTCACAATCCATTAGTGCTTTTTTGTTAGTAACACCCATCCATTAAGAGCCGCCATTGTTTAGTTGTGTAATAATCCATATTTGAAATCGAAATTAGTGAATATGAGTGCAGTGGAACCGCGCTTTCAAGCACATTTGGTCTCTCCCCACTTTCGTTTCGCTTTCTTTAACCGCCAACTTTCGATGTGTTGCTTGAAGCCTATTTTGTCCGTTTTGCATTTGTTTATAATTTGGCGGTTGCGCCAAATGCCTTTTGATTACTTCTGGCAACATACTTACCATACTTACTTATGAAATCGCATTTAAGCGAGCACAACAACAAGCTATTAATAAAAAATGTTCGAAATTAGGCCGCCATAGTGGCGCATAAAAGCCTAGTGTTACGTCTAAGTGTGTATAGTTGTTGCACTTTGAAAAGGATTTGCAACACAAATACAAGGTAACACGCTAAAGATTACTTTTTTTCATAAAACACACAAACTTACGGTTTTTAAATAATTTATACTAAAAATCTTTCATATTCAACCTTTTTACCTGGGGGGAAACCAGAAGCGATTATTTTTTGTCGTTGTCTCTCCAACGAGTTGCTTAGCGTCTTTCGGAGGAATTCATTGTAGTAGGACACTGATCAAAAAACGTTGAATCTTCATTTAAGTTTAGGCGCAATGGCTCACTATTTGGATTTTGCAGTTTCCACGTCACTACTTATGCTGACGACCTGACAATTGACGTTAAAGGCAAATGTCTAAATACCCGTACACTCTAATATGGTCACGCTTAGAAACTGGGCAGAGAGTCTGGGAAGTTATTCTCTTTGCAAGGAAACACATGTTCTCTATAGTCTCCCCGCTAATTTTCAAGAGTGTGGAGCTTCCTTCGAAGGACTCGTATTAGATAGAAAACTTACGTGGAAACCTAATGTAGAGGAAAGAGTTAAATTTCTGCACGGATGGATCCAAAGTAGACAAACCGGTTGGCTACAGAGTTTCCTCTAAGGAATTAGAATTCCGAATTCCGAGCCACTTCAGCTTTTATCAGGCAGAATTTCTAGCCATAAAAAGGTAACAAAAACTACGAATGCGGTAATGTTGAAATGAAAGGTTGCTCAGGAAGCGTGGCAGCTCTAACAGATATTACCTTGGTCTTCAACGTCAGTCCCATATGGATTCCGGGCTATAGAGGTATTGACGGAAATTGCAGGGCCGATGAGCTAGCCAGAAAAAGGTACCAATTTTCCACTGATGGAAGGCAGGGATAAATTTGAGATACCCATGGCAACCTGCAAATTAAGGATTAGATATACCATTTTTCAAGATGCCAATAGTTCATGTATAAATGAAGGCACTTGTATAACAACAAGGTTTCTATGGCTGCAAATTGATAGCAAAAAATCAATGAACTGCTCAGCCTTTCAAAAGAGTACATTTTTAGGGTCATGACTAGTGTAACTGGTTATAGTAGGCACTCTTCGAGGTTTGGAATTGTCTGCCATGAATGTTTTAGAAGACGAGAAATATTAAGAATTAGTGGAACACTTAATCTGCAGTTGCTCAGCGTTAGCTAAGAGCAGAGCGGGCTTTTTAGGCAAACACTCATTTATCTCTCATTCAGAATTATCCGGTGTAGGAATAAAACCAATCTACGCTTCATAAGAGCTTTAAGACGGTTCCATGAAAAATAAGCACTGAGGTTTCAGTGGTATCTCAATGGACATGCAAGGTATAAGTAAGTTGGTCTTTTGAACTGACTATTACATTAGCCTAACCTAACCTACTCCGACAGAAAAGCAGCAATCAGGACTTTAGGATCGCTTGTGGTGCGATAGAAACTGGTCGAAGAATGCCTGCGGATACTTCCCTATTAGAATTGCTTAATTTTCTGCTATTCCTGTGAAAACTTTCGCACTGTTTTCGGACAGACGGTCTTTTACTGGAAAGTTTCAACATCCTTCCTTCGGTTTACCAGCCGTAGTTGGGTAAAGAAGTCACTTAAGCCGACCAAGCATAAACTCTTCCAATTTCCAGTAGTCCTGATAGGTGCCTGTCTAATAGGTATTCATTCATTGTGACTTAACATCGTCTTAAAAACTTTTGGCTACCATTTTGTCAAATGATCATTTTGCGGTGATTCTTTACTAACTTTATTACTCGTACTTTGTTCGGAAGGCTGTTTAAACTAATCACTGTACATATATTTAGGAAATTTTCTTTCACAGCAGTTAGTCGTAAGCTCTGTTTGGTAACGTAATGAAAATATACGTTAATATCGTAGAGAACTTTTGTCATATTACCGAATCAATTAAAATATAGCGGAAAAAGGCTAATTACATAAAAATATTATATGTTCCCAAAAATCACGCTCTACTACACCACACTCAACTACAACTTTTACTTTTTTATATAGGAGTGGAACGACATGAATTTGCGTTGGAACTCAAGCGAATATGGTGGCGTGAGAGATCTCCGAATTCCTCCACACAGACTGTGGAAGCCCGACGTGCTCATGTACAACAGGTGAGTGGAGTTTTTAAGTGTAGAAGTTCACAATTTACATATATGGAACTTTATCGGATTGAACCAGATATACAAATCGACTGGTATTGTCGAATGTACATATCTAAGTATAGAAATTTGTGTATAAAATATTGCAAAGATAATTATCCGCAATTATTGAAGTATATTTTGATGTCATACCTCAAAGCATTTTTTATTTAGGTCTGTTCACACTACACAATTTAATCATTTAAAATCACTCCGTTACACAATGAATATTAAACGAATAACCTTGAAATTTTCCCAAAAAAAGATATACGTCTTTATTGCACTATCTCCATTGGTTTTGTCCAACCATTTTCGCTGGTACACGAGTTTAATTGCAGCAATTTACATTGCGTCCTCACCTAAGCAACAGCCAATAAAAAAAAGCATTTGAACTCACCAGCACCGGCAACAGCAAAGTCTGCTCCCTGGGGCGCATTCACAACTAATCCGCTGTGTGCTGCATTTACACACACACACACACACACACAAGTAGATGTTTGCACTGCAAGCATATTTTATTTTTTGCCTCGAGCTGGCCCAAGGTTCACGGCAATCAAAGCCGGTTAGTCGGCCAGTGCAGCAAGTTTCTCAATAAGCTTTCTTTAATTTTTAATGCCTTCATTTATATTTTACTATTTACTTATTACATCTTTTGCGACTTGACCTTAGTACGTTTGTGTTTGCGTTTTTAGAAGGCTAAAATATTTAGGTCATTTTAATTTTTTTTTTTAATAATGCAAATTTAAATGTGAATTAAAAATTAATGCTGTTAGTCGATGTTATTAACGAATTTATTTAAATTATCTTGGAATTTATAGAAAACTGAAGCTCTTTGTTGTGAAACTTTTCATATGCTACGATTTTAAATAACGTTTTTATTTTTTTAAGCCAATCGCTTCTACGTAAAATTTCTCAATAAGCTTTCTTTAATTTTTAATGCCCTCATTTATATTTTACAACTTATTACATCTTTTGTGATTTGACCTTAGTACGTTTGTGTTTGCGTTTTTGGAAGGCTAAAATATTTAGGTCGTTTTAATTTTTTTTTTTTTTAATAATGCAAATTTTCGGGGTGAATTATAAATGAATACTGTTAGTCGACATTATTAACGAATTTATTGAAAGTATTTTGGAATTTACCTCCTGTGTAAATTTTCCACGCATCATCAGGATTTTAAGACCTACACAAATTTAAACACAGCCGAAAATAAGTTTGCTTACAAAAGCGTTTTCATAAAATATCTGCTCTTACCCTTTTTTATCAACAAACATTCAAGTGGGTCCCTTGGGATCTAAAAATATTTATGCTTTAAACGTTGGGAGAAGAGGAGAATAAAATACACCACAAATAAAATGGCGTCGCAAAAAGGGTTTAAATTATTATTGGCCGTAATCTTCTATTTATTCACATTCGGTATATTTTAATTCAGCGGTGCACAAATATAGCCTGAAATACCACTGATCACGACACACCGTGGGTAAGATGCCCGACCTATAGAAGAAAATTTTAAAAACCCTTTTTCTATGTTGCTCATACGCCATGCCGAACGTGAATGATAAATGAAATGAATTCATATACCTCGGTATATGTTAGGGGTGTTACTTATCCGCTTTTTATGATACCGGGATTTTCGAGATGTGGTTATCACATTCCCGGCATTCCGGGAATAGTCCCGGGACTTAGATATTCATTACTTTTCAACAACTTAAATCTAAAAAATTGCTTCTATCCCTCCTACCATAAAATAAATAATAAATAAATGGGTTTGAAACCTACTTTTTTTGTTTAAAGTGGCGTTTTAATTTTTCCTCTCTGACGTCAAGTTCTATTTGTTGTTTCAAAGATATGGTTAATTCCAAAAATTCAATTCAATGTAGAATAAAAATATGCGTACCAAATAAAAGAGGAGATTTCTCTAGAATTTAAAAAATTAAAATTTTTTGGATTCACAAGGACGAATAGGTAATTTTTTAGCTAATAAAGTTAGTAGGACGAAATTCGAGGATGTTATCGAGTTTTTATAAGTCTTTAACATATAATTTTTTCAAAAGTTAATATTGCGAAATTTCAAGCATAAAATTTTAAAAGAACATTTTCAATATTTACTAGTCCTTATGTACCAAAATATTTAATCTGATTAAATTCTACAAAATTTCCTCTTTAAGTTGATACCCATACTTCTTCTCTAAGCACATTTAACTGAATTTTTTGAATCATTTTTGGGTTACTGACGTCAGAGTGAAAAACAAAAAAATATCATTTATTAAATAAAAAAACAGAAATATAGCCAACAGTAGTCAAGAAAATGACTTTTCATCATTGTCATCAGTGCAAATTATAAGTCCCGATTTGCCAAGAATCCCGGGATTTATTGGACCTAAACAAGGCCGGGATTTCGGGATTAGCATTCCTAACTTTTCTTGGCGAACTTTTTTTCTGGTGCGGCCTAATATACTACATACGCATATATGTATTTATTTCAACGTGAAAATTTAATCTTAATCAGCATAGTGTTAGTTTAGAATTAACATATACGGACAAGTAAATACCTATGTATGTATGTTCGTGTATTTTTGTTCAATTCAAATTAAGGTAGAGTTTGTGGCGTATAATTAAAATATTAATTTGAACGCTATCGCTAATTATTTCAATAGATGATACCATACATATCGCTACCTACGGGTGAAAATGTGCCAAGTCCACTTTTTCCAAAATTTACTTTTTGATGCAGAATAACAGATGATGCGAAACTACATTGTTTTTTCGCCTCTCCTAAGCAATTGCAAAAAATGGACTTAGCACCTTTTCACACTTAGGTAGCGATATACATATATGTACATACATGCAGAGATAGTGCATAAGGGGTATTCTCGATCCATGGCATACTGTTTAGCAAGTTGCATAGATAGCATAAATAGCAAGATTGAATAATATTGATGTTGTTACATGTGTTCAAACAACAACAAAAATATCCAATAATGCTATTTATGCTATCTATGTACCAGGCTAGGCAATATGTAACGGATAGAGAATACCCCTATAGTTATACAGCCAATGAACGACAAAAACAAATATTTTTGATTTAAAAAAAATTAGAAATGGTGAAATTAAATGGCGCATTGCTTAAATCTATGTTTACATGCGCAACCAAATGCGCATGCAAAATAATTATCTGTGCAAAAAGTTATTCATGCATAGGCACGTATACACATACAAACATGTAATTTTGCGTACATAACGTGCAAATAAAAGCAAACCATTTTTGGTATTAAAATTAATTTTGTAATTAAATTTTGAAAGTAGTAAAATTTTTAATTGGCTCTTAAACTGTTTAAAAATGTGTATTTACTTAGTCACAAGTTAAAAATTTTATTTGTACAAGTTCACTATTTTTTAAAAATATTCTGGCTTTGCATTAGTAGATATTGGTATATCTAAATGTGATGACCAGTTGCCTAGCGCTCAACAATGTTTGGAAAAACGTACGAGTGCAATATGTACAATGGAAATTTACAAAAAAAAAGAAAATAAAGTAAGTGTTAGTCATTATTTACACAAATAAAACACAAACTGTTTAGGTAGTTTTCAATTCAAAAAATAAAAACAAAAAAAATTATAACAGTTTCATAATAAACCACTTTTAGAACTTTTAGTGGTACAGTATATTCCGTTTAACTGCCCATTCCCTTAGGTGCACTTTCCGCTTGCGTACACAATTTTGCCAAAATTTTGCTTCATGTGCGATATACCGTCATTTGCAATCAGTAGTGGTAATGAAGACCAAAAACAAAATAATAATGCCCCCATAGCGACTAGTGTTGAAGAGGCACATTAAATACAAAAAGAAAATCTTGAAAAACAGTGTTGAAAAAAATTTTAAATCTAAAACAAAACAAATCGCAGTTTTGGTTTTTCCGCTTTGCTGCACATTTCGGTTAAGTGCACCAAATCATTTGCAGTGGAAGTAAACGCAGCTAATATACTATACTGCACCTTAAAAAATTATATTTGAAACCATGGTAGTCGATGCGGCTAACATTGGGTATAACATATAAAAAATATCAATGGTTATGCAGGGTTAAAATTGGTTATAAAATGAATACAAGTGCACTAGTTCAACACCAGTGGAGTTCATTCCACCACCAGCTGTTACATTTGCATATACTAAATATGCATATATGTATAGGAACATACGCCTGCACATACAAAATAAATAGCAAACGCATTTTAATTAATATTTCATTGAAAACTTTAAGCCAACACCGACATTAATTACGCATATTGTTTAGCATTATTTTGCGTGCATACTACATACATACATACGTATGTATAGTATATAAATATACAAATACTTGTTAATACGGCAACGGCCACAGCTTTGATACAGCTTTGGTAGGAAAAGCCCATGTGTGGCAACATTGCTTGACGCATACAAACATGAAAATGTGATACGTGCATACATACCTAACTATGTATCCATGTTCGTTTATATGCATGAATATCAGCATGACTGTTGTCGTGTTAATCCACACATTTAATGCGAAGTAAAAAGTGGTAGGGCGTTGTTAAATCACTGGAGCGCTTACAGCGACATAAATTGCTTTAATCCGCCCTATGCGCGCACACCCACATACACATCTCGCAATTCATAGTCCTCTGTGCGCATTTATACAAAAGCATCCTACAGCGCTCTTATTTTGCCACTTGCAGTAGCTCCATTCGCTTTTATATACATATGTACTTATGTACTTTTTTTATACATATGCTCTAGAAACATTTCTGCATAAAAAAAAAAAAAAAAAAAAATCTGCATTAAATATTTTCACTGGATGTGCAGTTTGTTTTTTTGTATCTGCGTGAATGTGCTTCGAGCCTTTTTCGATTACCATTTCGATTTAGTTTTAGCGTTTTTTTTTCGATTATGTTCCACACCTTTTTGTTTGTTCTGCATATGGCACAGGGCCGTGGTACATTGCCACCATTGTTTTTATTGTCCATAAATCATCGTTCTTCTGGAGGCAAGTCAGTATCAGCACTGCAGTTTTTCGCGTAAATATATATTTGCAGTGCCAGATAGTCGGTAATTAAATTTTGGTTTTTCATAAGAAAGCGTTTAAAACAATTTATTTCTTATAAGTAAGACGTTACGCCATAAGAATTTAACGATATTCCTGGTGCATATGTATAATTAGAGATTTCAAACGATTTCGAGCTGATTTAAAAATTTACCACTACTCGGCTTTGCTACACTGACATGCCCTAAATTACGCTAAAAATACAAAAAAAAATATAAAAAAATTTAAATTTAGCATGGAAAATGTTACTCATACGCCATGTACGAGGATGTACGATTGTGGCCAAGTACGATGTGGCATATGAGTAACATTATTTCCTGCTTCTATTTCGTACAAAAAATTATTGTATATTTTCATTCGTCTATTCAAAAGTAATTTATTTTTCCATTGATGTTCATCATTAGTATTTAGCTTGACTTTTTTGCAAAAGAACAGGCTGCACAGAAGTATCGTCGATGAGATTCTATGAGCTATCCTTAACAATGAACCAACTGTTTTAGGACATGGTAGCAAATGGGTACGAAGTAACTGTAATTGTGGCAACGTTCGGTTCAGTGTAAGTTCCCTCGGGCATTATTGAGATCGCTTTCGATTCAATGGTCAAAAATCTGAAGTGAACAAATAAGCCTTGCTAAAAATGAATTATTAAGGCAATAAGTTTGTTTATCACGCAGATTATCTTAGAAATTAGTACTCTGTTTAGCGGTCAATACTCCGATACCGATTTGTGCCCAAGCGATGACGACTTGAAACCATCTATTGGACGAGAGGTGGCAGCAAGGCTGAAAGAAATCGACTCATGGGTGGGTCAACCTTAGTTAAATCAGCTTTCTTAGGCACTTCGCCCACAAGTTCGATGGAAAATTAAATTTTAAAATTTTACTCGGCAGGGGCGCCTAACAGCAGGCAATATCTAGGTACATGGCCCTCATGCTGCCAGGTTCCGCTGATTACACATTACATCTATTAGTTTTGCATATTGCTTACCTTTAGGCTGCACTGCTTTTCATTTAGAGAAATTCGGCGATGAAAATTTTGCGTAACGATTGTCAGAATTCCACTGCAGATTGTCATTCATAGTCTCCAATTTTTATTTACTTAATTAATTTTATCTTTTCGACAAGTGGTAACTCTATTAAAAAAAATTCTAAATAAAATGCCCCAAAAACTTACTTCCCCTAAAGAACTTAGTAGATTTTTGTTTGATACTTAATAACTTGCATTAAATGGATGTTGATGTAGCAACCCTAATCACAAATGTGTCTTTCGATTAATCTCCTTCTAACTAAAAAAAAAAATCAAATAAATTTTAAGAGTGCCAAATCGTTCAATATCAATCAAAATCGTGTCAATATCATTCGACTCTAATGATTTCCAGTTTTCGAATCTTAGTAAATCACCCAAATGCTTACAACTATGTTTAAACATAAAAAATATTTTCCACTTCAATCATAAGAGCAAACTCGCAGCGAAAGCACTTGAAGCTGGCGGTAGCATTACTTCAAGGCAACATCTATGTGCATATTCCTATGTACATACATATATGTATGTATGAAGGCCTACTGCCTACTTTGTTGGGGACTGACACTTTCCCCATGAATCAAGTTTTTTTTATGAATATAATATTCTTTTGCAAATGTTTTTGTCTTTCCCCATTCATGTACTTGGCATAATAAATGAATAGCTCTCCAAATTAGCACTCATTGCGCCATGTTGATAAATGTCTTTCTCAACCCCATCAAGTTGCTGCTGCGATTCGCGCCACACTTTTGCAGCACATAACTTTTGGCGCGGCATTTTCACCGCCTAAAGCCATTTACGCTTTTGCTACTTTTTTGTCATTTTCGTATTTGTTTTTTTTTTTTCTTTTTTGTTTAATGTTAAGTTTTGCAAACCTTGACTTTCTTAAACAAATATGCCTCACTTGCATGCCATGTACACGCGTGCACATGTATGCACTCAAACACAACGGCACTTTTCACTTACACACTTTTCTGCATGTCACTCACGTTTCGCTCTGTCGTCGGTCGCATTAAATGAACTTCCTGTTGTTATTACTTTTGCCTTGTCTCTGCACTTCATGAGCACTCTACCTACCTTCGTCGTGAATATTATTTCCATTCTCTTTTTATTGTTGTCAACAAACTCGTAACTTGTAGTTTTCAACTAGCTTTGGTATTTTTTTTTTGTATTTTTTCTATTTTGGTTGGTTGCTTTTATTGCTGTTCTTCGTAACTATTGTGCGTTTAGTTATTTGATATTATTGTAGTTATTGTTGTCAGTTGAAGCAGCTGAAGTTGCCTGGAGCGATGTCATTTCATTTCAGTTTCCTTCGCTTCTAACTATTCATTCGTTTATTCATTCATTCGCTCGTTTGGCACCCACTTCTTCAGACAAACAAATGGAGGTATGCAAAAAATATTCAGAATAATGAAACTTCATTCCAAAAGGGCACATACATATATGTATATACCTAATTCTTTGAGAATCTTGAAATTTTGGTATTTATATAAGCGTATACATATTAGGGTGAGCCTTAAAAATACTACTTTTTATTTAAGCTTTTTTAGTCGACAAAATCTTGGCTTGAAATCTTATAAGACATATTACTGAAACTTATTCATGTACATTCATAAACTCGCTGCGTTGTAGCTGGTCAATGCCAATTTTGTCCCAATTTTTGTGATTAAAAAAAATTAAATTTTTTAAAATATTTCTTTTTAATTATGAAATTTTCGTAAATGTCGTTTTATTGTAGGTTGATATTTTTACGGACCACCCTAATAAATATATATGCACATATATTCATCTGCTGCCAGTCCGAAAATGATTTTCGATCCATGTTTCTATGTAATCACTACCAAGTTTATTCAAAACCAATTTTAGTAATTCAGCAAAATAAGCTTCTTCCCAACTTCTTCATCCGACAAAAACGTTTCTATATTTTCTTATTAAGATTTATATTCACACTCATTGCCTTATTCATATCATATTGCCTTTCGCATTCGTATTTCTAGCACACCATTAGATTGCATTATTTCAGTAAGTTTTAATTCCGCAACTCTTCGACTATTTATAAAAGATTTCTATTTAATTCAGTTTTTTTTCTTCCATCGCCATTTAACAGCACAGTGAGTTCTACAATCTCGACAAACCAAATACGCATTTGTATCGTCAATACGTTCTTTGTTTTTTGCTACTCCATACAGCATTCTTTGTTTAACTTTCTCAACTTGATTACACCACAAAAAGCGGACGTACAGAGAAAACTCGAAAGCAGTAGAAAATGTGGAATAAAGTTTAAATTTAAAAAAGACTTTACCTATGCAAATAACACAAAGTTTTTATTTACTCTAAGGAAAATCGATTTTGATACAGTTTTATTTATTCATCGAGATTTTGCTTTTTCGGTGATTTAGAATTACTCTATTTCGAAGTTCTTCAAAAAAGGATCAAAAAGAGGCGGTTGCTCCAGTTCGTCCTTCCATCGTGTTCGTGAGTGCCCTTTCTTTCATTGTCCATCCATAGATGCCAGGTCGAATAGTCTTTTCAATGGAGCGTCGTTAGACCGCTCCTCTCTCAGATTACTAGTCGGGGTAATATAACCGGACACTGTTTGATGGGCGACACGGAAAAAAGTTAGAATAACCCAGCAACGATTTTTGTCGCAGTTGCTGAGACGAGGGAGAGCTGGAGAGCACCAAACATTATCTCTTCTTTTTCTTCGATAAATCTCCATCTGATTTCCCTCTCTGCCTCTACACGAACCAGCCCCGGTGTTGAAACCATTTAATTGGTGCTTTTTTTAATGTTTTCCAGCATCGCAAGCTCTTCGCATTCCTGACTTTAAGCCTCTCGTATCGCTCAACTGTCGCTCGCGTAGCCTCTTCTGCAGTGGAAACAACAGATTGGAAAATGAAAGCCCACTGCTCCTTTTTATCTGGTCGATGGAGAGTCTCCTGTTTAGGTGGGTTTGACGAAATTTTTCACTAACAAAATCTGACCACTAAATTAAAATAAACCGTCGTGAGACTTGGAGCTCAATAAACATACTTTGGAACAGTTTCCTAGCCGGATAGCAACCCATTATTTTGCTTTTTACTTATAACTAAATTGTATTTGATAAAACATACATACATATATATGGATGCATCTCCAATTGTCTATTAATTTATTTTGCGGTTCAACAGTAAATTTTTTGAAATGAAGCTCTCAACACAACTTACATTTATAATCGTTTCTCTCTCCTTTCTTTACCTGCAGTGCGGACGAAGGCTTCGATGGCACCTACGCGACCAACGTTGTGGTAAGGAATAATGGCTCGTGTCTTTATGTGCCGCCCGGTATTTTCAAATCCACCTGTAAAATCGACATCACATGGTTTCCATTCGATGATCAACGCTGTGAGATGAAATTCGGTTCATGGACATATGATGGCTTTCAGGTAGGCGAAATAGGAATTTGCTTATAAATACATACAACAAAATATTTGCATTCAAATTAAACGTTCTTCGGAAAAAATAATTATTATGTTTTTTAATTATTTTTTTTGTTTATTGCGCCATGAGTGGTGTCGAGAAATAAAAAATTGAATAGAAAAAGTGGGAGCAATCTGCCCACAAATACTAGCAAAAAAATAAACGCCAGCATAAAAAGTAACAAAAAAAAATGAAAATCAACAAAGCGATATACCCATACAAACGCTTGGTTTCAAAAGCAAATACAGACATACGTATCTACAGTGACGAGCAAAACTGTATCATGGAGTAACACTTTTCTTTCAGCTGTCGCTATCTTTCCAAGTTCTAACGACATTCATTCATTCATTTGTTAATGTGCATGTCTGTAAAAATTCTGGAGGTATAGCCTCCCATATATCCTTGGTTTGCTTTCACAGCTCATGTACTCCATTGGACGGACTTGGATACTTAGTAAGATGCGCTTTTAGTTGATTTCGTCAAATTCTCGATGAGATTCATGTCCTCGGATTGTGGAGGTCATTTCAAATTAGCAAATTTCTGCTTTTGTTCCAGTCTTTGCGAATATGTGCAGTGTGTTTTGGTTGCTTTTTCAGCAGAAACTCTAATTTTTTCGACTACATCTTGCAAATTTTGTTGAAATATGAACAGATACTGTTCCTTACGCATAATACGTACAAACGGATCAACAACATTTTTGAAATACAACCCCAAACTAATATTGACCAACCACTGTGATTCACAGGTTGCCTTACATGATGCGCTTATGCTTAATTTGGGCCTTTGTTCCAATAC